ATTACTTCGTTTGGTCCCACTATTACTCCGTCAGCAAGACCTTCCTGGGCGCGGGGCAGGCCAGTTTTGGGGGCGTGGATTTTTCGCACGAGGGCCCCGGTTTCCTGACCTGGCACAGGTACCACCTGCTCCAGCTGGAGCGAGACATGCAGGTGAGATAGTGCAGATAATTAGATCTATAACAGCGTACACTGTAGTGTTGCGGATGTCATTAGGGTCTTTTTAACTCAAATTTGAAAAAGAAAAAAAAAACTAACTGATTTTGTTGCCTGAGAGTCGCTAATCATCACTTAATTGTTTATCGACATCTTTAATTTACCAGTTCAACACCGACAAATGTCCTTCTTGCCTCCCACCACCCCACCCTCCCCTGCCCGCTTGTTTTGTTTTGTCTAATGCGCTTCCCCGCAAACTGTAATGGCGAAGAAATCATAATTGACGAAGCAATGTCACACCTTAATAAGCGAGCAGCGCGCAAAATGTGACTTTAACCACTTCAAATTAGAGATTGGATTCGGTCTGCACACCATCCATTTGGAGAAAACAGCACTGAAAGGAGCTTTGTTGAAGAGGCGTTATTAGACTTTAACGATCACGAAAGTGACACGTGGAGAATGTTAATAATCCGCTCCAGAGGCGGTGTTGCATCCATCAGTCCGGTCACAATTAAGGGCAGAGAATGAGGCTGCTGTGTGTGCTGTGTGGGTTTGAACCCTGTCAGTGTTGGACTCCTGCAGAGAAGCTCCTTCCTTATCCTGAGCAAGTTTCTGGTTTAAATTGGGATCCCTAATTAGTGCCTTGTTTTTTGTTGTTCTGTTTTCATCCTCAAATCTGTCACACTGGTGAAGTTTGAGGGAAATAATAATAATAATAATAATAATGGATTGCATTTATATAGCGCTTTTCGGGGCCCTCAAAGCGCTTTACAATTCTACTATTCATTCACTCTCACATTCACACACTGGTGGAAGCTCTTTTTTTCTCCAGTAAGAATTAGAATGAACTGTCTCTGCTTCTTGTCCTGCTGCATTTAAATCATATAGGTAAGAATGCCTGGATTTTATTAGTGTGGTGGGGGGGGTTTCTATCTTCAACTCACTCTTTTACCCGACTGGTTTCATATCAGCAAGCATAGACTTTAAAAGTGGGATTTGGTAAGCTTTCCTTTGATAAACCACCGGAGAAGAAGAATTGAAGGAGGGAATAATTCACAGCCAAGCAGACAGACTATGTTCCTTTGAGATTCATGAATATTTTGCCCCTATAAATCCTCTATTGAAACATTTTCTTTACCTTTACGCCTTATCTTAAACTACGAGGTTTTGCATTGGAAAGTCATGAAATAAGTCGGAAGCAGAGCAAGAGCGCTGCACTGCAACTTCCTTTCACAAAGTTTCATCATTTCTGAATCCATCGTGACTTTATAGCGCCGTATACATCCCCCCAACTTCTGTCTTCATATAGACGTTCTACATAACTAAAGGGATTAAAAAGACTTCCACTAGAGCTTTCTTTTTTAGCACAATTTATTAAAAATAAACTAAACTTTAAATTAGATCAGAAAGATTGCAATACCGACTCTTCAGACTGAATGCATTTGGTTTGCATCACAGTCAAATACATCCTTATCCATGGCGACACACTCTAACCCAGCCATGCTTTGATTTTATTCATACTCAATACCCAGGACATGCTGCAAAACCCCTCCTTCGCCCTGCCCTACTGGAACTTTGCTATCGGGGGAAACACATGTGACATCTGCACAGATGACCTGATGGGAGCCAGGAGCAATTTTGACATGAACTCTCTGAGTTCTAACTCCATCTTCTCCCAGTGGAGAGTCGTCTGTGAGAGCGTGGAGGACTACGACACGCTGGGAACCATCTGCAACAGTGAGGCTGGAGACTGGTGATGTTGCAGTGATCTGTGGGGGTTTTTTGTTTTGGAGTTCTTTTTGAAAATACGGTAATATCCAGGTTGTTTTCCTTTCCCTCCCTCCCTCCAGGCACTGAGTCTTCTCCCATTAGAAGAAACCCGGCAGGAAATGTGAACAGGCCTATGGTCCAGCGTCTCCCGGAGCCCCAGGACGTGGCAGACTGCCTGCAGGTCAACACTTTTGACACGCCGCCATTTTTCTCCACCTCCTCTGAAAGCTTCAGGAACACCATTGAAGGTGAGCAAGCACAAAGATATTTCTGTCTGTCATACAACTCTTTTGCGTTCACATACACAGCTTTTCGTGCCCTTTCGTGCTATTTTGGCAGGCTACAGCGCCCCCAAGGGGAACTACGACCCTATAGTGAGGAGCCTCCACAACCTGGCTCATTTGTTCCTGAACGGGACAGGAGGACAGACTCACCTCTCCCCGAACGACCCCATCTTCGTCCTGCTCCACACCTTTACCGACGCAATATTTGATGAATGGTTGAGGAGGCACAGCCCAGGTCTTTCAGTAGCATCTGTTTTTAAAAAACGTATTGTCCTTCATAATGGCACGGTGAGCTTTTGTGCTAATTTAAAGTGTTTCCCGACAGATGCGGCTATGTACCCAGAACAAAATGCTCCCATCGGTCACAACAGGCGCTACAACATGGTGCCCTTCTGGCCTCCGGTGACCAACTCGGAGATGTTTGTGACCGCCCCTGAAAACCTCGGTTACTCTTACCAAGCCGAATGGCCAGGTACACATTTGACCCGCACGCCTTTAATCTCGCCTTCAGAGAAATGCTCAGATGACCTGTAATCATTGTTTACTCCTGCCTTTCCAGGTGAAAATTTCACCCTGAGCGAAATCATAACCATGGCCATAGTCGCTGCCCTTGTGGTCGTCGCGGTCGTTTTCGCTCTCACCACGTGTGCTGTGCGTGCCCGGTCTCACAGGAAGGAGGGCCACCAGCCTCTGCTCGGGGATCAGTACCAGCGCTACGATGATGAGAAAAGCCAATCTGTTGTATAAACTCTCTCTCACACACACAGACACACACAAGCCCCACTTTAAAGCACCTCTTTGTCTCACAGTGACACGCTTGTGTGGTTTGTTAAAGTCTGAATCTGTTCTCACTAGAACATAAAATCATCTCTTTTGTTGCTGCATTTGTGCGTCTATATTTACAAATAGTGCAGATGTAAATATTGACTTTTACATTTCCTACTTACTGAAGACTTTTTATAATGAAAAGGCCCTGAAATAGACTTTCACCCCGTCTCTGCCCAGCGTCACCCCTCCAGGACCCTGAATTTGATCAGTTGTTAAAAAAAAGGCCTTAAATCAGGAATTGCATATCAAGATCAGCTGACTTCTAAGTTCAGTGTTTGCTGATTCACTTAACAAAAAGGGGGCACACCTGAAAGGAATGTGCCAGTGAGCGTTTTACATCCATTTAAAGTAATGAAGGAAGTAATACTTCCTGAACATGACTATCATTTTACTAACTGCATACTCTACATCATCCCCTGAGTTTATCTGACTTCTTAGGTTCGCTTGGTTCAGTTGCACAATACCAGAAAAGGTATATTTCATCAAAGTGCCCATGCAATTAAGCCATATTACCCACAAGGGGGTGCTGTAGTTTAATTTCTAGAACTCTGCAGGACCTACTGAACGTTCAATAGATAGATATGCTTTTTTATGATGTGTTAAGTTACTGTTTCACCTGACTTGAAATGTTGCTAATAAACGAAGAAGTAGAAGGAAAATAAAGCAGAGTGGTGATTTAGATCAAATGTAAAAGAGTGTCAAGAGTCTTTATTTTCTGTCTTTTTAGCTGAAACACGTTTTTCATACAATAGTTGAAAAATGTAATTTATACTTTTGTATTTTTACATAAATAATTCTGTTGAACTTAGGGGCTTTACATTAAATAGTTTGGCATCTGGGAATCATTTATGCTACTTAAGGGTGTGAACAATGCAGGCCCACGGGAAAATCACAGAATTTGATGTGGAACAAATACAGTGTAGAAAATTGGCATAGATAGCAGTAGGCATGGATTTCAGGCTCATTTGCTGCCCTGCGCCCTCGTGCAGATGGTGTTACGCGATAAGCGGCACTGCCCACGAGGTTAAACACTGTTTGCATTGAGTTTTTTGCAAAGCAGTGAAACAAATGTTTAGACTTTTTTGTGAAACGTCTTGAAATGTCATGAAACCATGACGCTTTCTTTCCAGGCTCCTTACACTACCATGACCTGGATGATTGAGAATCTATGCAGAGACGTATTTAAACTCTTTACTCAAGAAAAAACTAGAAGAAGTTAGCTTCAGCTGCTTCATTATTCACAAAGGGTGTTTAGTTTTTACACCAGATGGCCTTCTTGATAAGAGCCCCAGAGGCCTTGGGTGACACCAGGGATCTTTTGCTTGTTAGCCAAGTGTGTAAACCCCTGTACTATGGAGCCACTAATCCTAATAAGTGCCCTAATATTACAAAGGTTTTAGCATTAAAATAAACTTAATGCTTAAAGTCTCCACAGAGACCCAAGTCTCCTTTGTTGTTGGGTCAGGAAGTCTGACAAATCGAGGGGTACAACATGGACCTACTTGTTGTATTGACCCCTCGTGACAAGGGAGCAGCCTAACAGTAATCTGGCATGGTGTTGTGTGCGTGTGTCGTCCCTGTGTCTGACAAAAACCTTTACACCGAGCAGCAGGTATACCATCGCCTCAACATCCTACACTGTCGCATACATATGACACAAACAATGCTATAACGACCCCCATACACATTGAGGTGGTACTCAATTGTAATGGAAAATGACCAAAACCAAGCAGAGCAAACTCAGGCTGAGTAGTCGCTAACGAAAAGAGGCATTATATTTTCAGGGGGGGCAGTAACCATGCCCTTCACCCCTCTGGACACGCCCCTGCTATAACTTCATTTATCACTTCTAGCAACTGTCTTTTATTACAGTTACAGGACTCTGAAAGCACCAGTTGACTGTGACTAGTTTCCCTTGACAACACGAGCTCAGCTTGTCGGGGGGTCACGAGGTGAGAAAATAAAGAGAATTAAAAGACCTTGCAAAAAGTTATTCATAATAAAATTTTAAACAGTCATGCTTATTTTCTTTGTGGGCTTTTGCCACCGCTTTTGAAAAATAATATCCTGGAAACACCTCTGCTTTTTTATTTCTCTCGCTCTCTCGTCTCACCTGTAGGGAGTCTGGTTTCAGAGGAAGCTCCCCCAATGGGAGGGTCCGCGGAGAGCGCGTTGTCGTCAAACTGTCCATTCACGAGCTTAAATGAGAGGTCTGTTGCTGTGGCAGCGGTGAGTTTAGCGTCACAGCGAAGAAGCTGCGATGAGCGCGCGCCTTAAAACTTTTATTAGCATACTTTGACTCCACTCCTCTCTGATTAAAGCTCGCGCGAACAGCCCGCCAGGCTGTGGGAATATAACCTCCGTGGTCGCAGATAACTGTCCTGACTGCGTGTGTGACACCCCGCGATGGAGGAGGACAACAGCGTCATGCGAGACTTGAAAGACATAGAGACGAAGTTGGGCCGAAAAGTTCCGGACAGTCTCTTTCGCTCTCTCGCCGGAGGGAAACACGACAAGTCCGCAGCGCCGCATTCAGGGAACTGCAAATGTTGCGCTAACTCTGCGGACATAAAAAGACTGGAAAGCAAAATGATGTTTCTCAAACAGGAGATGGTGAGTGTATTGTCTGAGCTCTATAGTAGCTTGCAAACAGTTTAATAGTCTTCTCTTTAAAGCTTAATTTCAGGTGTTGTAAGTAATATTTTAATAATTACTTTCAGATAAATGTGGTGGCATCGTTGTTTACTGCCAGGGTGGTCCTGTTTCTTCTGTTGCGTTCAAGGACCTTACCTAGACACAACAGCATTACCTGAGCTTCAGGTATAACCATTAACTGTGAACGACTGTCACGGGGGCAGGTGACAGCCGTTCACACTGTGCTGCGGGCAGAGGACTGTTTGTGAACTCCCGTCACCTCAGGGCGCTCGCCCCCTCTCCTGTCGTATGATCCAGTCCACTGCAGTTGTGCAGCTGTAATTATCTCCCCATGCTTGCATAGTTTTATCTGCGATCACTCAAATTGTTCTCAAATGTCCCTGGAATGTCCTGCTAGTCTCAAACTCCGACAGAGTCGCAGCAACGCGCCATTTTAAAAAGGTCAAGACTGGTATTAGGAGTCCCGAGCAGATGGTGTGTCATAGCCAGCAGACTGACCCGCTGCCACAGATCTCGCTCTGATAGGATTAGTTTATTAAAGATTACTGGAAGGACAATAGTAGATCTGTAATTGGCTTTTTTTAGACTTAAATGACACATTTTTGGTGGCAGTTATTTTGTTATGCAAGCATCCTGTAAAAGGAAAAAAAATACTAAATGAATTTATTTTAAATGAACTGAGTGTAATCCCAACTGTGACTGGTCTCTCATTTCAGCCACTAATCCAATCAGACCACTTCCTGCATGCACACTCACAAGTTTGTGCCAAGAAAGTAGCATTTAGCTTTTCTATTGCATTATTTGCGAGCCCAAACTAATCAAAGGAGCAAATTAACTGTAAACGGCAGTCCCACCAGGTCTGTTTGGGGTTTTGTATCACAAATCATGTTTTGCATCCAGCGCAGACAAAAACTGTGCTGCACTAATTGTGTTTCTGATATTCATTTTGTGATAGAGACCCAGTGGTGCCATCCTATTAACACAACATAGCTGCTTGGCCTATAATTCTGGTGTAACTCCATCTGCTGAGCTTCTGTGTGTGTGTGTTTGTGCATAAGGCAGGTGGTTATACTTGCAAAACAAACACACCGGCAGCAATGTGAGCCAAATGAAGGGTGGTTACAAATCCACTCTAAAGAAAGGCTGTTGTGTCAAAGCAGCTGTCTGGAACAGTCTACCAACCCTGTCTGCCTTCATCTGCCTCCAAGTGTTTTCACTGTAGCAGGATGTTGCAGCTGCCCGTTTACCAATTTTCATTCAGACCGGGCGTTTGTCACCAAGTAGACGCAGGGGGAATCCCTTTTGAATGACTCCATAGGCAGTTCCATCCACCCTCAATAGCATGGTTTGTCAGGGCAGGAAGTTTAGTCAATGGCCATACTGTGTAAAGTAGGCATCGTTTATCCATTGTCCTGAATAAAAACTGTCTCTTGGCTGTGATTTGACATGCATACAAGTCGTTTTTCCGGTGTCACATGACCCAACAATGACTGGAGTAGATTGTGTTTTCTCTGACTAATTTATCTGTGGGGGAGAGTACTATTTCTGAGACCAGGAATGATCCTTGAACCTTGATGCTTACAGTAGCAATACTGACACTGCTCGTTTTTAGTTGTTTTCTTGGCTTCCACTTTACTTATGAGCTCTATTTCTTACACTGTTAGTGGACTTTGACTCTGTCTTTAAATTGTCACGCCACAGCTACTGGCAAGAAGTAGTCCAATGCCTGAATTACGCTTCAGCGCAAAATCTACGCCATAATCTTCCTGACCAGTCGGACTCATTGTGATCTGTGTTGACCGGACATGTAGTTACATTTCTCAGGTCCCTTCAGGTTACCTGGAAGGTTACAACATGAGGTTAAAAGGAGTTTCCAGTTACGACTTCGATTTTCCTCAGAAGTCTATATCTGGCATAACTCATACCTGTCTGTTTATCTACAGATTTAAATAGGGTGCTGGTGTTGCTCACGTGGCTGTTACAGGTTACGTAATTGCTGGGTCATTTGCTCCAGTTCTGTCATTATAAATGCTAAGAAGTACACTTTTCACTACTGTGTTTGCTCTTTTGAACGCATAACTGTTAGGCAATTACAACTAAATAAAATACTCTACAAGCTCCCCTGCAGTGCGCTCAGAACAGTCAGACAGTTGAATCTGGAATACCATCTTTGCTCTGGAGATGATGAGAAAATAGTGGGACCAACAGACAAGTCACACAGTAGAAGAAGAATATACTGGCTGGGGAGAAAAGAATTTGGTATGTGAAGCATGATAAGACTTTGCAAATGTCATTTTAAGTCAGCCCACAACTCTTTGTCTCAAGCTGAGCAGAGAGCAAGACTGCTAGAACCCAACTGAGATTTTTATGACCAATGCCGATATCTGCTGATTTAAAAATCTGATCTGTCGGGCACATGAAATGTAAACAGACTTCTCAGACATTTATCATGTGTAGTTATTTATGAATCCTCACTAAGATGATATGACCACGCGCTTTAAAAATAGTCTTGTTTTGTTGTCACGACAAGAAATGGATAACTCGTTTACCTGACTTTGGTCAGATCAGCTGGTAACTGTTTATGGCGTTTCAAACAAAGGCTCTAAACACTAGTGGCATATTTAAAAAGGGAACTTCTTCCTTTTAGTAACAGAAGTACTTGAACTAAGACAAACAATGTCTTTAAAAAAGATTAAATCAGTTACTAGTAAAATAAAAGTAGGTAAGTTACAGAGGCCTGGATGACCTCCTGTATTCCCCAACCAGTTGTCAAGTCGTTGCTGAGAGTTGCTGGGTGAAATCGGTACTAAAGAGGGTCCGACATCAAAAACCTTTTTGTGATTGCTTCGGTCAAGAGCAGATTGCCTGTAGTTGGTATGGAAAATGCCAACAGCTACCGAATACCCTCGGCACGTTTTGCAAGTGTTTGTAGACAAGTTGAAGTTTTTCATACAAACTACAGTGGCCACTGCAATCTGCTAGTGGCCAGAGTAATCACAGGATGGTTTTTCATGCAGCCCTCTATACCTTGTTACAACTAATTTGAGCTTGCAAATGACATCAAGTTCGAGCAATTGCCCACAACCCAACTGGAGATCGTCAACCAGTCTCTAGGCATGTGTGACACGGTCTACTATTACAAGGTGTAGGTTAATTTTTCTTTCCCCCCTTTAAGTTAAGCTTACCCACTGCTTACATTAGCCATGTATTTAGAGAACAGACATATTGATCTGTTAACCATATTTCCTGAAATGCGAAATGCAGTGACCTTACTTGAATGTTTATTTTTCTCCACAATACAGGCAAATCTGCGAGCCATTGACGTAAAGCTCATGCAGCAGCTTATGTCCATCAACGAGGGCATCGAGTCCATCCGCTGGATGATAGATGACAAAGGCAGCGTCGCCAGCCATGACGGCAGCCTGACCGGCAGCTTATACAGCCTGTCGGACAGCCAGGACGGCGCCTCGCTGCGAGGAAGCTTCAATAGTTTGAACGATGGCAACAGCGACGGCCTGGATGGTCTGTCTGTGGGTAGTTACCTGGACACACTAGCAGAGGACCTCCCGGATGAACCCTCGCCTACGGACCTTGATTGTTTTGTGGATAAAACGGTGATCGACGGCGACGCCTTTGCCAAATCGCCTTTGAAACTCAGGGTGGAGTCGGATGAATACTACTGCTTTGGATAATAATGATAAGCTAAATGTGGCAATTACAGAGGGACTACTGTAATTTGTGAAGAATGGTTTTCAAAAGTATTCTTCACTTTTAAAACAAAATGCTATTTTTTTTCCTCAAATTGTAGCGAGATGTTAGCAAGTCTTACCTGATGACTAATGTTACGTTTTACTTTCCTGACTCTGTCGAAACGACGCGCCTCTTCAAAGCGTTCACGCTTAACATTCATGTCTTAACACTTTAAACGCAGGTTAATTGAAAGGGTGTTTTATCATGATTCAAAGTTCTAGTTGTTTTCAGCTATCCAATACCTCACTGGGTGTATCTGTCACACTTTTTAGCCTAAAGGTATTTTCAAAGGTGGGTGTGGAAAAAGTAGAAACATCAACTGAACAGCCGATTTTCCTCACTATCTGTGGAAAACCCGACTCTGAGTTTGCGTCAGGTCAACCACAATCAGCTGATCCAGACTAGATTGGGATTTAGCAGCCATTTGGAAAATTGGACATTTCATGCTGAGCGATTCTCGAGGTAAAACAGTTTCAAGTGATTAGTCTAAGTGTCACAGCAAGTGCACTTTGCTTCCATGCCAAATCCTGAGCTCCACTGCTGTATGTGTGAAACTTTTAGTTCTGCTTTTTATTGTTTTTGTTTTGTTTACTGACAGGAGTTCCCAAGTCAAACTCTGCTCAGCGGTAGTAGTTAAAGCATGTAGCCTAAAACACAAGAGATTCGTTGCACACTTAAAGCTCAGATTCTTGACTGAAAACCAAAGCAGTTTGATTGTCTCATAGATAATTTAGGGCCTGCTTTAACAGCAGATGGGAGGTTTATAAATGGTGGGACACGTGTTTTGCTCTGTGGGCAGATTTTAAATTCACTGTTGTTAAAGAACGGTTTAACGAGAGCGATACACCGCTGTACATACATGTGTTATTTTTAGCTTTAAAGCTCCTGTGTTGACGTATCTGACGTTTGTATTCGCCTGCTTTTTAAAGCAAAAACTGTTTTTTGTTGTTGTTTTGTTTTTATTTGATTGCTGATGATCTGTTGTGGAAAATGAAATAATATATTGTGATTTTTCTTGCTCATTGTGCTAAGTTGTTTTGTTTTTTCTTTAAGCAAAGAACCTTCTAAGCACGATGCATTCTGAACCTTTAGGTCCCGTTTTTAGAAACAAACCTCATTTTGGGATCCAAATGAGATGGAACGTGAACCTCACAGTGCTCGCCTTTTTTAGCTGATTGAAGTTGAGAATAATCTCTTAATAATGAGGTCAGACTCCGCGGTGCCCCGTGTAATGTGCCGTGGAAAATTACCCTTGTTAATTCACATTGTTAAAAACTCTAAATTGGGCAAATAGCTGTTTATTTGTAACCTTTAAAATATCCAAGCTGTTAACAAAGGAGGAGTGTTTGGAGTCATTTTCTTTGGCTGGCATAAACTAGCGCTATTAAAGATGACAAATCATGCTGCCAGAAACTCACGAGTATCTGTCATCTGGCTGGAATGACTGGACTGCGTCACTTGAGAGTAACTAAGGCAAACAAAGACGAGACAGAGCTATTGCTGAAATGCCAGCCATGCAGAATCATTGACGGGCTGTTATGTTATTCTCATTTGCAATGCATCGCGCTGGCTCCTTATCTTTCATGTGATAATTGCAGGTCCAGACGAGCTATAGAGGGTAAGTCTTCATGGGAAAGATGAGAACCCTGCTCTCATCGGCCTGCAAATGAATGAGTGGCCTTTGCCCACTGTACTTCAGTAGCTGTTACGCTCGCTTGGAAATGCTGCCTTGCTCCCTTTGTCCACAGAGCTCCATGTGCGCTGTGACGAATGCTGTTTAGGGTGTTTACTAAACGGTGGCAGCAATCTCAAGATTGGACACAAAGGACACTTTTAAGTGTTACATTAGGTGCAGACAGATATAATCACTGCATCCAGGCACATTAAGCATGCTTTTAACTTTGTCTCGCTCCAAGTGCAGAGCAGCTTTATTTGGTTTTACGCTGACTTATCTCTACCACCCAGAGGCTTCGGCGTAGCTAAAGACCCCTGTAAAGCTGAACCGGGCTGATTCCATTAAAACCAAAAGATCCGCGTAAATGACAGCGTGACCTTCATGTCAGCAATTCAATTAAAAACACAAACTATTCTCTAAACTTTCCCAAATGTAATGTCCCAAAAAATATATCCATATCCAACAACTGATAGCTCATTACTTGCAGGGAAACTGTTGAGACTAGAGTTAGTGGCCGTGAAAGAATTGGACCTACCGAGCAGGTTCTGTCAGTTTATGCTGAATGAGTCTGAGTCAGAGTGTTGCATGGTACACTACACATGAATGGCAGCTGCCGTTTGCCCATTTTCTGTGGTCTTAACAAGTGTACGTTTGCTACGTGAAAGGGACGACCAGTTGATGGAGCTTTTAAGATAAAGACAGCTGCCGTCTTTCAGCGCAGCATGCAAGACTCAAACCTTCATCAAGATTAAACTTGAGCCCATCGTCATACTTCATTTCCTCTTGATGCCAACATGTAATGACATCTTTAGAAATTTAAGCAAGGAATGCTGCAGTCAGTGCATTATTACAGTCAAGTTTGCAGATTCTCCCATCAGCAGCGACGGCCACACTACTCTGGGGGTGAATGACACCAAGGCTTTGCAGAAAACAAACAAGAGGAAAATCGGCTGCAATTTCGCCCGTGTTCGGGGGGGAAAAGTACAAAACAATGATTTATTCATTCCCTCAGTTAGTCCTCCGTTACTTCACTTGTGCACATATAATTCCACCGCCGTACAGTCGAGACAGCAGCTTCCAACGGAGATCCATTAGCAAATTAGACACTGGGGTTGGACCTGTGCCACAAGATGAAGGGAAACCAATACTGTCTGGTATCTGGGAAACTGTCACCACGGTACCAAATGAGGATACAGGATATGGGTACTGGAAAGGGGTTCGGGGGGGGGGGATCAAAAGAGCCGGAGACGACACGCACCCCTCAAACGGGAAGCTGCACATACAGGCTAAACATGTCGCCTTATTTTATTCTACTTTAATTAGCTTTTCTCTCTGCGGCTGTTTACTTTGTTTCAGAGTGCTTGGAAGTTCTTCTGCAACTTTATATCAACTGGAAAAGTTCTATATGAATAAATATCAGTGCTATTTCTTTTATACCAGGATGTAGAATGAATGTGGCTCGGTGGGATGTGCAGTCACACTTGTGGTGGACAGTAGTGCTTTAAGTTATCTTTTCTCTTTTTTTTAGCTCTATTACAATAGCAGGCAAGAGGAGCATCATGCTGGGAAGTAATGAAGCTGTGGAAAAGTTTCTGTAGGAAAAATCACTTAATGAATGTCAAGGTCTGCTGTAATGTTTTCCCTCACATGGCATTTTCTGCAGTGCCGATGGGATGATGGCACGCAGATTCATTCTCGTTAGATTATTTTTTGCTTTAAAGTCAGATAAACTTTCAAGAGAAGGTCTTGAAGGAGCTTCGTTGGCAGTCTGCCACGCTGTGAATCTGTGAATTGTTCTAAAAAGGCTTTGTGAAACTTGGCCACTCTTGGGATCTGCTATGTTCACAGCACAAGATGCTTGAAACCGTTTCCGTCGCTGCAAATAATAGATGTTAACGACGGCTGTCTGCGCCCTCTTAAATTACTCTGCTGGCATTTAGAGAAGTGCCCTTTGGGAGCTTCTGTAAACATCACATAGGAACATCGGAGAAACCTAAATACAGAAATTGGACAGCTTGAGAACTTGTTGCCCTCCAGGCTGGTGAGGCTGCATTCCAGTCATAATTAAGCCAGAGCTGAGTTATGAAACTTGATGCAGAGTGCGCTAAAGCAATAACTCGGATGCAGAGCTGGATTTCTTCCTTTAACAGTCCAAAAAAAAGAGCGTTGGCATTGGCAAAGGATGCACGCTAAATACAGGGAGTGCTTGGTTACTTATCAGATGTGCAACTACAAAGATTAGAACAGTAACCCATGAGACCTAATCTGCACTCTGCTGTTCAGGAATCTCACTGGATGTAACAAATTACACCTAATTCACCGTAGGGTTTTACTGGTACAGTGAACCTCAATTTGTTTATTTTTCAACTCAACTCTTTTCTACACTTCTAGTTGCTTTTATAATTTGTTTTTTTTACTACTTTAGAGTAAATCTGGTGACGCCATAACTCATTATCTTCAGAAACTCCCCCCTGTCAGTCAAACACAGATACTGTAAAACACTGACGTATGTTCTGGGTCCGAAAAATGCCTAAAAAGCTGCATTCTGCCTGAAGGCCGTTAGATTGTGATAGTTGTGGTTTCAGAAAAACGTCCAGTCCTATATTAGTCTATGAGAAATCAGCTTTCTGAATTGACCTCTGGAAACACTTACCTGATGAATTTATGGGCTAACTCATTCATTTTGGGTCGTACTGAATAAAAACAATTAAGACTTTTTAAAAAATAACTATTGGTCATACTGTGTTTATAAATGGAGGATTATCTGTGATTTGAAACTGCGCATGCCAAAGGGTACAGTTTCACAGTCACAAGTGCCCCGCTCATTTCAACACTTCAGCATCAGATGTCCAAAACCAATAAGAGAAAGTACAATAGCTCCGCCCACTTTTTGTGCTGTCTGTGCTTTGATACAATTTAAGTGGATGGGTTGTAAAAATGTTTGGGTGGGGGGATAAATTGGCTCTTGTTGCCAAAGCAGTTGTTTGCACTAGGTAGTATGTGCATGTTTATCTTTGCTGTAAAGTTTGATATTTTAACATGAGCGTCTATCGGGAGTGACTCACTTTAGAAGCTGTCCTCAAGTGGCCATTTGAGGAACTGCGGTTGTTGGCTTCAGATTTTTAAGTTGATTTAAACTGAAATTGAAACTGATAAGATTTATTTATTTATATTTCTAATCAGTAGTATATCATTAAAAAGTACAAAATGCTACTTTCAGCAGCTGGTCCCTTATTTAGGCTACGTTCACACTGCAGGTGTCAAATCCGATTTTTTTGACCCTATGCGACCCATATCCGATCATGGTATGACAGTGTGAACGGCACAAATCCGATATTTTCAAATCCGATCTGGGTCACTTTCGTATGTGGTACTGAATATGATACATATCTGATGTTTCAGAAAGCGACTGCTGTTTGAACGGTCAAGTCGCATTAAATCAGTCTTTTACGTCACTGACACAAGACAGACGCCAATTATCAGCGCCGGAGAAGAGCCCGATAAGACATCGCGAACGCTTCCTGGCCATCCGGTCAAACTGCTGGGAAGACAACGTTGGAGAAACGTGAATATTTTATTTCTACTGCATAATCTGCAGATTCTGACAGAAATCTGCAACTATCCTTTGAAGCACCGCTCCTCTAAAACAGCATTAGTAGGTTATTTACATTATTATGTAAATAACAAAATAACTTAAAGCAAAAATTGGGAAACGTGAAGTTCGACGTCTTTATATTAAGGGCTATTAGTCAAACAATATTGTTTGCTCTGGGTCTAAACAGAGCGAGTTGTGTGTGACATCTTCTTTTGCGCATGCGGGCCGCTTTGAGCGTTCACACTAGAGCGCGTTTGCTGTCGCATTTTAATTGTAGTGTGAACGAGCAGACAAAAAAATCGGATTTGATCAAAAAATCGGAATTGAGCATTAAGACCTGCAGTGTGAACGTAGCCTTAGAAGCGATCAGCACAGTGGAAAGCTCCACATGCTTGGTTAGAGAGACTTGTTAATCTATTTTTTTACACTGGATGCCCTCCCGATGCAGTTCCAGATGGATTTATGTCTCCGTCTGAGACTGAAGTGGGAATCTCTGAAAACATTTGCAACCAGCACATCTACAAGCCTTAAATTATAAAATACTCCACCAGTAAAATTAGCCTAAGTCGTTGAAAGCTAACATAGTGTAGACCCAAAACATAAAAACTCCCTAGTTCGAGATGAGGAGGAGATGCAAATTTCTTGGAGGGTTGTATCAGGAAGGGCATCCCACCTAAAGATCAAATCAAATATGCAGATTCATCTGGTGGCATGACCCATTATGAATAAGAGAGCAGCTAAAAGAAAGATTAAGTTAAAATCTTAGCCTAAACTGACATTGACTTAGTCTGAATTAAGGATCATGCCTCATTCAATTTAAAATACATTAATACCCCTAACAATCAAGCCTGACTCTATACTTCCTGCATGATCTCACAGCTTATTGGATTAGACTTAGATGGCTAATAGTAGTATCTCACAACCAAGCCAAATCTGTTAAAAGTTGAGGCTTCTAACTGATTTTGCACATCTTTTATTAACACCTATAGTAGCTACTAACAACTGCTCCTGATAACGGAAAATGAAAATAGCTGAAAACTAGCTATAAGAACCAGAATCATTGGTTTTTGAATGTTGTTATACTGACTCATACTGGTTGTGAAAGAATTCCTTTTTTTTTTTTTACACAGGCACA